ACTTTTTTAACTAAGCGAGGTACAGGTGGCAGGTTAGCTTTTATTCCAAAACTTCATATAAATGTTCAGTGCTTTTATATTGGCGGCATTTTTTACTCTATACGAAAATAGCAGTAGAAGTTCCAAAAACATCCTGACTGCAGACTGCAAACTTCTTGGAAATAAAAGGGCCTCCCAGGAACATCCAAGAACATATTCACATTCACTACAGGAATCTTGGGACAAGATGTGTTCAGAATTCAGTCGCATCATACTTGTAGTCTTTACTCAGGCAGTAGTACATCAGGCATGCCGTATGAAAGGAATAGCCTACCTTATAAAACTAATGGGTAATAATAACTTTCGACAGGGTCGTTCATCATTTGTCTCCTGCTCAGAGCTATACGGTGCTGCTTTTCACTGTTTTCTCAAAGGGTCACAGCTTCGCGACCTGTGTAATGTCACTGAGTGCTTGCGTTTTTCTCGGCACAGAAATTCAGCTAAAGCAGCTAAAGCAGAAATGATTTACTTTTTACAGCAACAACTATACGAAAGACACTTCCATGTTCACGGCCGTTGCTGGCTAGGTGTACTATGCACTTTTATGTGACCTACTTGCTAAAATTTCAGGGGGAAAACGGTCATGGATAATGCAGAACTACAACTCAAACACTGAGGGTCCGAAAGGTAACAAGCATTGTAAATACCATGTCATCTTTTGCCACAACAAAAACAGGGGCAGTGCCTCATTAAAGCTTTAATTAGTTACCTTACAATGAAGCACTAATGAAAAAGGAAAACCCTCTCAAAACATTATACATAAATATCACATTTATTGCAAAGAAGTTTTGTGAAAGTATGTAAGGTGATGAAATTTTAACGAAAGGAAAGCAATCATTTATCCATGAACAGCACAAAAGCCATAAACGAAACAATTCTTCGGGGGCTCGTTATCATTGTTACACTGAACCAAATTAACCCAACTTTTAATCAGCTCAAGCGGGCATTAACTGTTGTCTTTAACTGCAACATAGCAATCATGCTGTAAATTGAAATGAGCTGAGGTGGACGCGAAGTCACCCTTTTCGTTGATAGGATGCAAACCTATAACGTACGATTTATGCACCTATCGCTCAACCAACTGAGCTACGATGACAACTGATAGAGCACCAGATCGTAATCAGATGATTATGAGTCAACATTGCCCTTTAAATAATTTCACTTCGTCTCTATGCTCTCCTTGGCCCACAATGACAACAGTAGAGCAAAAAGCGAAAATGAGAGATCAAACAAAGGCAGATAATGCTACTTAGAGGCACTGCTGGAGGAACGAAATAAAGAGAAGCAAAGGAAAGACTTTGTACTGTATTTTTCCACAGCTCTACAATCTATCACTGTCGCTGCTTTACGCAAAAACAAACGCATTTTTGCTTGGTTTTAGTTTCCCAGTGCACAGCTTGTTTCTCTACGCGGCCTCTGTCTGGCTCCCTTCACCTTGACTCGCTTCTTGTCGCATGCTTTTTTCCCACAGAGCTTCACACGTACAATAGATTATATGCCCGGCAGACAATGTGACAGATTTGAGCCAGCTAATGCTTCGCTCTTTCCATTGTTTGGACTCTTCTATATGCGCTATTGGTCTATTAAGCTAAGTGTACCAGTAAGCCATGTCAGGAATGCCGCTTCCTAGTGAAGAATGTCAATACATCAGTTTTTAACATTCAACCGATTCTATGTTACGCCTGCCAATTTCTTAACTTTTGTTGCGCCACTTAATCCTTCGTTATTTCTGGTTGTACTTCCTATCTCTTGGTATCTATTGTGAACCTTTAACATTACCCATAATTATGCTTACATGACCTTCCCATTTCCTCCATATTTTTTTTATTCCTTAAAAGATTCTTGCAGCACAAATTAAAGTGTTACTATCACTCTAAACCAAGTACTTGTTTCATTTTAAAGTGTACACTGAGAACTCTAATGTGACAAGTTTCACTAGCATTCTTTATTATTAGAGCAGAAAATCAAGGTTAAAGTTTCATTTTAAAATTTTGTGCTGACACCTCTGCGTGCGATGTCACTAACATCGAAATGTATTTTCATCTTTTCGTAACCTCAGCTTGATGAAATGTTCTGTATGCTAGGTCTATGGCACCCACAGATGACAATGTACTTCGTTTCCACTGATCAGAAACTACGTAGGGTGCAGTAAAGGCCCTCAAAACTTATGAAGTCGTGGTGTTTGCTGTGAGAATCTCAAGATGGCATCTCCAACCTAATTTTCTTTTTGTGCATTTTCTCCCTTACCAAGTGTCATCTCGCAGTAAAAGTGGTGTTTTTGGGACTGCGAAACCACACTTTACTGATACGTGAAGTATCATCTTTCCCTTTAGTGTCCCTTCATAAGCCTGTCATTTTCATCTCTTCTGAAACTGCGGACTGTACAGATATTGTTGCAAAAGTGGGAACACCAAAAACAGTTCTGTTATAATTTTATTTCAGCGGAAAAACCACCTTCATTTCGGCGACATGCAGTGGCTGTTCTTGCGATCGGAAGCGACACTTTATAATGTGGAACTGACGACAAAGGCTGCACATCTTAAGTAGCTTGACAGAAGAAGTTGCACGTGTTATTTAAGTGGTGCCAGCTAGGCCGCACTATTTTAACCGAAATATCATAAAAGCATCTTTATGTCTTTTCAGATAGAAAAAGGCTCATGTTATAGAATATGAATATTTGAAAACAATCGCAAGATAATGCTAGGAGCACTGTGCAATGAGTATGACCACTGCAGCCATCATGACGCGGGACTTCTGGTATGTCTCTAAAAGAGACACACATAGCTTGGAATCAGCCTTTGACATCTTAGCAAGGGTGAAATAGGAAGGGGAACATTTTTTCTCATCATTTGCAGTGGTTATCGAATTTTCATGCGCCAATTTTGATAATTCTTGTTGTGTTCATGTTGGTATTCGACACCACACTTCAGTGCTGCAGAATGCAGAAAACTCTGCAGAGTCCCTTTAAATATGTACAATGATATCAGTTACCTCTGTTATTTTCTATGATCTACACTGCTGTCTCTATATCTTTTCAAATTAGGCCCATCAGTTTTTCTTATGTCGCATGCTCTGTGGTTCTAAACTTTTCCTTGAGTTTTTTTGCTCCTCTCCGGGTTTCTATGTTTGATTATGTATGTGGGATGTCTCCCTAGCAGCGAAGACTAAAGCAGGAACTTAAAAAGGCACTTGAGCTTCGAGGACGCTGGAGATTACTCTTCAAGAGTAAAATGTGATAGAGATGTGCAGGTATATGTCCCATGGTTGAAGACTGCATCGTGGAGCTTCTGTACAAGCACCTATAGTGCAGTTTCCCAAAGCTTTCCGCCCAAATCAAGGCGTGAAAAAGCTTGGCTCACAGGTGGAATCGTCAACACCCGGTGCCTCGATCACGGCCAAATTCCGGCGAGCTCAGTCACAAAGAGTCCGAGGGTTGTTTTGGGTGCACGCCGGCCTTCTCGCCGGCCTCCTGGCTATTTTCTGCTACCACGCTCTCAATGTGTCGGTCGGAACACGGCAGGCGCGTCCGCAAATAAAGACGACGCAAATGACAACACGCGATGGCGCCTCGGTCATGTGTTGTGCGCGAACGCTGCCAAGGGAAACAAAACAAGCAGCCTGTCGCGCGCGGCGTGTCACCGAAACGATGTCGCGACACAAGATCAAGGCCGCGTTTGGTTTCTGTGCAAGTTACCTTCTGGCGATATACAACAGCGCCCAGGAAAAATCACACGGAAGTGTATTGCGTTTTATTAGAACGGATAAACATACGAGTGCCAGAAATCAAGCGCGTTCCGATGGGGAAAATGCCGAGCGTATTGATGCGTGGGCAGCTGAAAACAAAACGTCATGACTTTTTGACAACATCGTTATGATACGTCCGATGTTCCGGCGGACTTCTCGGGCAACCACACTCAGCTGAAGAACGCCCCAGGCGCCGGCTTGCTGTCGGCGAGCGCCTTGTATTTCGTGGCAGAAGACGTGAGCGGTGTACCGCGCCCTATGAATGGACGTGGTCGTGCCGACGCCGACTGAATGCGAGCAGCAGGGGGTAACGATGCAATTCACGGATATGAACGCGAGCTGATACGTTACGCAAACCGGCCAGTGCGCTTTCCCGCAAGGGTGACGCATCAAAGCAAGCCTCTACAGATTTTTTTATACCTTCTTTTATGTGTTTCCCTCTCCCTCTCTCGGGGCAAACCCGATTAGCCGAGTTGCTCCTTTCGTCAGACACGGTGCTTTCTTCTCAGACTACTCATCCATCCTAAGCGCCGAAGCGAAATCGGCAATCGAATTTTCGCAAAATCAGTACCGTGTCTAGAAAGAACAAACGCCCGTTATAATTTAGGAACTCCGGGATTGGGTTGACTGCGGCAAGCGGGGACGGGCCGATGCACTGTGAATATAGAAAGCGCATCTGCGGGGAGCGCTCAGATCTACGGCTGCAGCGACGGAGACTCGCCGTACCCGCGCAGTCAAGCGCCGACGCGTACGCCCGTGAGTTTCGGGCAGGATTCGATAGAAGAGCGCCCCTTTCATCAGGGCGAAATCGACTCGCACTGAGCCGCACGCGGTTCGCCCTGCGCTGGCAGGTCGTACGGACGCGGTTTCTCGGCTAAATACGGTCTCGGCTTCGCGCCTATCGGAAGGCACTCGCGCTGCAAATGCGGCTTTTCGAAACCGCAGCGCGCGCCGGGCCCGAGGAGGCGCATCAGCGGTGGATCCGGCGAAGCGAAAGCTTCCTGCGCGCGCGCGATAGGATTTCGTATACTTTCCGCTGCCGCACGGGATGCAGCGCTCGCGACAAACAAGTTTACACGTACACGACTTTGCAAGTGAGGCTGCTGCGAAAATTAAAATATCGCTGAGCAGAGGCAGCGAGAGAGCTCCGAGTCCGAGCGACGGGAGCGAAAAAAAAAAAAAAAAAGAGCCGCCCGAGAGAAGAGCGAGGCACTCACGTTCCCAGCAGATCCTTGAACTCGTATTTATCCTCGACACTGACACCATCTTTGTCCTTCTTTCGTTGGGAATCCTTTTTGCCGAACAGCGGCATGTCGGTAGCACAGGGCAGCCGCGTCGAATTGCACCGAAAAACGAATCCGTACTCCTAAATAAAAGCCGCCGCTAAACACGCTACACCGGACGCCATGAGTACACTTTCCTAAAAGAGCGAGCGCCATTAGCCGTGACGTTGCGTGGAGCGCCCCCGGCGACGTCACGGCAAAGCGTTGGTGACGTCGCCAGGCGCAGCGAGCTGCGGCTCGATAGTTTCAGTTTTGTTTTTGTTTTCTCCCACGCCGAGGAGACGGAGCGCCGCGCTGAGCGGCAAGTCGCGGTGCCGGCTGCTCTCCTCGGGGTTCCTTCGGTGGCCCCGTCTTTGGTCGGTGCATAGCAAGACGAACGGGGAAACGCTCGCAAGCAGAAAGCATAAGAAAAGCCCCATTTCGGGGCCGGGAGTGAGAGCGCTGACGGATTTCTCTGTCGACGTGCATACAAAAGGCGGACTTATCGCGGGGGAATAGCGAAGCGCCGCCCGACATGCGGTGTGCAGCGTATTTCCGTCTGAAGTGGGCGTGGTTTTTGTGGCGCGTGTCATTCTCTACTTTTGCCTTCCTCTCGGGCGTGGCGTTAGAGAATAGAAAATAATTTGAATATAATGAACCTTCAAAAGCGGGCACCAACACCTCGGCCGCGCCTACGCGAGGAGACGGTTGAATAAACAATGCGTCACTGCGGTGGCTCCTTACGGCATACACTGCTCATACACTGTGCATCCTCTTCGCCTCACCTTTGGGATTTGTTCCTGCACGAGTCCAAAATGAAATGCGAGCGTACGACGTGATGAAAAGAGGCCGACATACATTGTGTGTACCTACTTGGCCTCGGTAGAGTATTCGTGTGCATGAACATTTGTGTGAAGGCCTCTGGTTGGAATTCCCTCGGATGGGCAAAAACTACCTCTCGACTGAAAAATAGAAGTACATAAGTCTCTGTCGCAGCCGAAGGGTACATAGTTCCTGTAGCATACCATTTCTGCGTATTTCCCAACTGCAAATTCTACTCTTCCATCAGAAAGCGTTCATCACACCATAATTATTGCCAGGAGACGAACAACAACAACAACAACAACAACAAATAGCACGTGCTGCGGGCGCTGTTTTTTACGCTTTGTTGCCTGTTGTTTGTTATGTTCATCCGTGGTTAATATCTCACTGTGGATCCCTTTACGATCGCGTGAATACAAGCGCTTAAAATTACGCGTGCGTAAGACAAGGGCTGTAAACGGGATCTGTCGCCGTCATGATGATGATAACAATTATGAGCATTCCTTTCAAGTCAGGCTGGGGACCTCTACGTCATGCACTTTCTGGTATATTTGAGTAATAGCTGTACTAAACTATAGCATAAGCTATGCGTTTATTATAGCGTATACTGTTGCCGAGGGACAAAGGGCAACTACTGCGTGGTCAGTTGCGGTAGCCAAGGATGGCCACGGTTGAAATTCATAATTTTTTTAGTGCAGACTCCATCCCCTGCCCCTCAAAGTTTTTTGTTTTTCTTTTCAATTTTGCATGTTTGTATATACATGTTATTCACCGCGTTCAAACACGGGGGTCTCAGATGCCTAGAATGGGAAGAGTTTAGGGATACGAGTTAATGGAAGGTACCTTAGTAACCTGCGTTTCGCCGATGTCATCGCATTGCTAAGTAACTCAGGGTACGAAGTGCAATGCATGATTACTGAATTAGCGAAGGGGAGTACAAAGATAGATCTTAAAACTAATCTGCAGAAAACAAAGTAATCCACAACTACCTCGGAGGAGAACAGCGCTTCGAGATAGGTAGCAGTGCACTTGGAGTTGTAGAAGAGTATGTCTACTGAGAATAGTAACCGCGAAGCCGAACCACGGGATTGAAGTAACTAGGAGAGTAAGAATAGGGCGGATCACATGTGGGAAGCATTCACGAATCACGAATGGTGGATTGTTACTATCCCTCAAAGAGGGAGGTATATAACAGCTGCATCTTGCCAAAACTTACCCACGGAGCAGAAACCTGTAGGATGAAAAAGAGGGCTCAACTTAAGTTGACGAAGACGCTGTGAGCAATGGAAAGGAAAATGGTTGGTGTAACCCTAAAGGAGAAGAAGAGAGCAGAGTGGGTCAGTGAACAAACGGGTGTTGGGGGCATCATAGCCGAAATGACGAAGAAATGCTCATGGGCAGGACACGTAGCGCGAATGCAAGATAACCGCTGGTCATTAAGGATCACAAACTGGATTTCAAGAGAAGTGCAAGTGGGTGAAGGGGAGACAGAAAATTAGTTGGACAGATAGGATAAGGAATTTTGCGGGTATAAAGGGGCAGCAAGCACAGAACCGAGTTGGCAGGCCAAACATGAGAAAGACCTGAGTCCTACTGTTAACGTAGTCAAGCTGATGCTGATGGTGATATATCTACCAACAAAATTTGCTTGAACGAAGCATGGTATATCAGTGGCCAAGTTGTCCATGCTTGTAAAGTCATTGGTGGCCAATGGAGGTATGTGCTTGGCAAGTGTGACAAGCCTACCATTGGCCAAGCAAAGGAAGACCGTGCTTGGCAAATCATTTTTATGTGGTTATAAAAGGGAAAAGAAGAGAAAAGTGAGCCCCGTAACTGTCTGCATCTGGTGCGACACCTCAACAGTAGTAGCTCACAAGGGATGGGGGTAAGGAGGAATTAAGATATATATATATATATATATATATATATATATATATATATAGAGAGAGAGAGAGAGAGGGAGAGAGAGAGAGAGAGAGAGAGAGAGAGAGAGAGAGAGAGAGAGAGAGAGAGAGAGAGAGAGAGAGAGAGAGAGAGAGAGAGAGAGAGAGAGAGAGAGAGAGAGAGAGAGAGAGAGAGAGAGAGCGGCGCAGAGACAGGAAGCGACGGAAGTAAAGAGAAGATAGGAAAGATGAATGAACACGGTCGCAGGAGTCCGAGGACGGGGCACCACTGGCGAAAGTTCTTGTCGGCAACAGGAGATGGCATAGGGCTTATCCAGTAGACCAGAGCTACACTGTCTTCGTCGTCGGGGACTGGCGCCAGGAAGTGGCGTAGGACCAACCCAGTTGGCCAGAGCTGCACTGTCGTCGGAGATCGTGAGGGCACAACCAGTCGATACGGAATCCAGCGAGCGAGTTCGCAAATCATTGGAAACACCTTTTTCCGTGGTTGGCACTGTATTGAAACACCATGCAATAGACAAGCAAGTTCTTGGCATGGGAGCCAACCATTTGGGCCAATGCAATTTGTGGCCCATTTTAGTTGTTTTGTCCTGGCTACAATTTGATGCCCGACTACTTTTTTTTCTAGATTTTCTCATGGCCCCCTCACCCACACACATAAGCCATGAGACAAATATTCCCGGTGTTTCAAGTTTATTTCACACAGAATATATAAAGAAAATATGCCATTTGCCCATTATTTCCCGAATTCTCGCAATTCTGGTGTGTTGCTGGGTTTCTGTTGGAGTATTATATCATAGTAACATGCCTTTACCTAGGTGCCCATTCTTGGTCTGAAGCGTCCGAAACGGCTGACACAGTTTTGTTGAACCGGGTAAGCCTCTAACATGTAAAATAAGAAAACAAATCATGAGCTTCCCTTCTTTAAAAAGCAGTCACTTAGGCAATCGCTTTCACCAATGTTCAACAAAACACACAGCAGGAACACTTGTTGGGAGGATAATTGGGAGGCATGATTATCAGGGCAATCGCTTTCACCAATGTTCAACAAAACACACAGCAGGAACACTTGTTGGGAGGATAATTGGGAGGCATGATTATCAGGATGACAGCACCTGCACAGACAAAAAAAAAAAAGGTTGTTGGTCGAGTATGATACATTTTTTTTTACTTTCAACTACAAGTTTATTACTGGAGCAGCATGTATAGTCATGCTAGAACTCCATCAATACAAAAGAAAAGATGAAGAAAAACAAGTAAAAAAAATTCTAACACTCGCACAAAAGATCTTTTTTAGATCATATATTCTCTGAAATCAGAAAAGGTAATTTTTTTCTGATTGCATTATGGAAGCAGCATTAGCGCACAAGCACTGTATACTGTTTTCCCCCCTTATGTGTGTAATTTATATTTGTGTAAATTGCTGTAGTAGTCATTGCACCTTCATTTACTAAAATTACTTTTTTGTGTCGTGCAGCTTCTGTTGTTTGTTTACAGTTCTGCCGTTTAGCTGTGCAGCTGACTGTTAAACAATAAAATTGGTTATGTGCTCTGCATGGTTCTCAGCTCCAACAAATTGGAAAGCTGATACCAAAAAAAAAAGCTAGTTCAGATTATAGCACAATTGAAGTGGTGAACATATAATATTGCAGTGAAACTGTTTAATTGCTCATTTTTGCTCCAGATTGCATAAGTTGACTTTATTCAGGGAGGCAGCACATATAAACTAAAAAATGTATCAGTAGGTCAAGTTTCTTGAGAAACATCAGTGATGCAGTATGTAAATTATTCTGGCCCTAGTGTATCATTTTCTAAAGAACATCAACCAAAATATTACAACATAGAGAAGACTACATAGCTAAAATTTATGATGAGGATGTTTTCCATTAAAACTTGCTGAGGTTAGAGCTTGGGCAAGTTCACATAAAAAAAAGCACAGTGCGGAAACGTCAGGAAAGAAAAGGAGGAGACAAAACAGAGCGCTGACTTGCTCACATTTGTGTCACGGCAGGCAAACCACACGTGACTGCCACACAATCAAAAATGTCGCTCTAACGTCATCACCGTATCACCACTCTGTCTCGCAACGCATGCGTTCGTCTCAAAATAAATAAGTCAATCTCTTTTTGAGAAAGGGTAGTGGACGCTCTGCCAACGCATTACTATTTGAAGCGTGCGGTTTCATCCGCTTCAATTATTTCCCCTTTTTTTCCCCTTCTTTGTGCCTAGCAAGGACCTTATAGTGACGCGAAACTACGATGTGCATGCAGCCACAATCCCTACAGTGAATGCCAAGGTGGCTGCTAATTGTGTTTTCACATTATACTCATGTTCCTTCAACCTTATGTTTACGCACCTTCCTGTTTGTCCCACGTACCTTTTGCCACAGGACAGCGGGATCGAGTATACACCACTGTCCGTGCATTGTACGAAGCAAAGTTTTTTGATTTACTGTGCAGAGCTGCTGCTTGCTTGTGGGTTTGTTTATATGCGCACACA